GCGCCCGGCCTAGATGTGTATTCTCTTAACGTTTCTGCTAAGTGTCTATTCTATGTCACTTTGTCCTTTAGGAGCTCAGCCTGAGGAAGAAAGGCCTGGAGTGCCTTGTGTCCATTCTCAAGTGCATGGTGGAATGGAGCAAAGACCTATATGTGAATCCCAACCACCAGACCAGCCTCGGTGAGAGAGCGTAGCTGTCACCTCCGTTCATAACAGGCTTCTTACAACTGCCAGGAAAAGTTACCTAGGTGTCGTTGCCTTAGAATCGAAGAAAATATTGTAGTTTGCTAAATACCTATAGTATTTAAAAGTTCTGCTTTTAGTAGATTAAATCTGGAATTTGCGGGGAATAGTGTGAAGTTATGCTCTAACTCTACTGTTCTAAATGGGGAGCTGATCATTCTAACTTTTTTAGTAGTCTCTCCTTCCCTCACTGATTTGAAGCATCGCCTTTATGACACACCACATTCTCCTATGTATCTAAGTCTGTTTCTAGATTTTCTGTTCTATTGATTTTTCTGTTCTTACACCAGCACCACACTTTTCAAATTATTGTAGTCGTATAAATTTTGGTACCTTGTAGGGCAAATCTACCTGTCCATTATTCTTTAAGTATCTTGTCTGTTTTTGCCTTTTCTTATGCTTTCATGTGAATTTTAGAATTAGATCATCAAGTGCCATGAATAAAGAAGTTGGTTTTTTTTAAGACTATTCAAAAAAAAGGAGTTTTAAAGTGTTTGAGAGATACAATACTAGGGTTTCATGCTTGTGGTCCTTCTAGGACAAACTTGTTGCTGTTCGAGGTCTGGCAAAGGGAACCATGACGCCAGACCTACTCAGCCATGTCTCTGTCCCATTAACCTTTTTGGTTTCCTTTGCTTTTATGTCACTGCAGGTCAGGAGAGGCTCACGGATCAGGAAATGGGGGATGGGAAAAGCCTTGACATGGCGAGACGGAGCAGCGTGACATCTATGGAGTCCACGGTGTCCTCGGGGACCCAGACAACCGTTCAGGATGACCCGGAGCAGTTTGAGGTCATCAAGCAACAAAAGGAAATCATTGAACATGGCATTGAGTTGTGAGTGTGGTTGCCGCTCTAGTGGGATCTCCTGGGGCCTCTAACAAAGCCACATTTTCTCTGGGAACCTGGAAGTGGCTCCTGAGGGGGAAATGCCTGTTATAAAAGCACTGTTTGTGTGGTTAATGCAGCCTTTATTTTTCCCTTTTCCGATGAAAAGAATTAAACCCATTTAGAAAATATAGAAAAATATAAAGCAAGAATGTAAAAAATCACTCATAAAATTACTACCCGAGGAAATCACCATTGTTAACATTTTTCCCAATTACGTATTATGAAAAGTTTCGACATACAGAAAAATTAATATTTGCCATATTTGTTTTACGTATGTATATATTTTTCTGACCCATTTTACACTAATTTGTAACTATCATGATACTTCAGCCACACATCTTTGAAAAATAAGGACTTTCTCCCATATAGCCATAGCATCATCGTCAGTCATTGGTAAATCTTTGTCTCTTTCCAGTCTTTTAGACACATGAATACATACAACAATCTCATATCCTGCCCAACTTTTGAATGATTAACTCAGTAAATTCAAAGTTGATGTTATAATACTAATTGAAAGAAGTATTAATCTCTTCATGCCCACTCTCACCACGCACCTCCCGCCGGTGTATTCTCCCCACAGCAGCTAAAGTAATCTTTTGAACACATAAATCAAGTCTTATCACTTTCCTGCCTAAAATCATTCCAAGTTTCCTGTTCTGCACCACAGTCTGACCCAGCCTCTGGCCTCCCTCACTAAGCTCGTCTCCTACTAGTGCCCCGAGTCACACAGTGCGTTTTCAGTCCTTTGAACACCTCCAACTCTTTTCGCCATGGTGCCCTCTGCCTGGAATACTCTGGGCTCTTTTTCATCCCTCAGACTTGGTAAAACGTCTCTCCCTCAGAGAGGCCTTCTGTAACCACACTATCTAAGCAGAGTCAGTCTCCGTCCTTGCGCCTGTGTGAGTTTTTCACGGCCCTTGCCAGTTTGTGTTTATCCATGAATGTCACTCGCCCGTGCAGGCCTGGTAAATGTAAGTTGAATCTATATGTTAGTTAGCTTTGCCTTCCTTTAACAAAAAATACAAAATAACAGTGCTTAAACCATGTATTTCTCTCTCAAGTAAAGGAAATCCAAAAGTGGGCAGTCTAAGGCTGTCATGGTGGCTCTTATGGGATCTAGGCTCCTTTTATCTGACTGCTTTACCATCTTAGCACATCATTTTCATCTTCAGGGTTGCTTCATAGCCTAAGGTGACTGCTGGACTACCAGCCATCCCACATGTATTCTGGAAAGAAGGGGGAAAGGGCCAAAAGGGTATACCTCCCGCCTGAGTCAGCTTTGTCTAAGGATCCCTCCAGAAGTACCCACATCATTCTGCTCTTATTTCACTCTATCACATGGCTGTACTTTATTTAAGGGACGCAGGGAAATGTAGTTTTCATTACAATGGTTGTGACTTATCTAAACGCCTAGGGTTCTATTAGTGTTGGAGAAGGGGAGAATGGATACAGGGTGACAACTAGTGGACTCTGCTGGGTTAGAAATTGAAGGTGGGATTTGGAAAAGCTGCCAGGACACACAGGACCTTACCAGCTTATATGTGATGGCTTGTTCATAGTGTTCTACTGTAAACTCAAATACGCTTTTTCAATGCTGCAGATTTTGAAATAAGCACCCTGTGTCCCATCTCTTCCTGAAACAGGTTCAACAAGAAACCCAAGAGGGGGATCCAGTATCTCCAGGAGCAGGGCATGCTGGGAACGTCGGTGGAAGACATTGCCCAATTCCTGCACCAGGAAGAGCGCCTCGATTCTGTAAGACTGGGGGTTTAGCTCTTGCATATGAGTCCCATCAGGTGATTCTGAGCGCTTACCAGCTTGAGCCTCAGGATTGGCTGGCCCTGAGTACATTGTCTATTGTCCAACCCCTCGTTACAGCAGTCCTGCTTATCCCTTTGGCCAGGGCTGCAAAAGCTCTTTCGAGGGAATAAATGAGCCTCCCGGCAGGTGGTTGCATACTTGGTGGAACAATGTCGGAGCTCAAAATGTCCTTGACCGTTAGAAAGTGTTCTTCTGGCTGCCCAGCTGCAACTAACTTTGTTCCTGAGTGATTCCCGTCATTCTTTCTGTTTTTAAGTCTGTTATGTGTCCTCATCTTCCTTCATCCATGGCAGGATAGGCTGAATCTGGAATGATTGGGTGGGTGAGCAGCTCAGGTGTTCCCTAGCTGTTTGAGTAGTCCAGTGTGTTCTGGGCATTTAGGGCCAGGGTGTTCTGACTCTACTGTTTGGCAGGTGGCTTTTGCTGTGGGTTCATATTTGACAGTTTCTGGATGTGAGTCAGTGTGTATGTTTCAGACCCAAGTAGGTGATTTTCTGGGAGACAGCACAAGGTTCAACAAGGAGGTGATGTATGCCTACGTGGACCAACTTGACTTCTGTGAAAAGGAATTTGTTTCAGCCCTGCGGACATTCCTAGAAGGTTTCCGCCTACCTGGGGAAGCCCAGAAGATTGACCGGTTAATGGAGAAGTTTGCCGCAAGATACATAGAGTGCAACCAAGGGTGAGCACCATGTTTAAGTCTCTTCCACATCAGAACACTAAGCTTAATTTGGTTGAGGTTTAATCTTTCTAAATCTGTGCCAAGCAACTAAAGTATCTGTTCACCTTGTGCCAGGCACTATACTGAGAGATTATCTCATGTAAGACCTCACAGCAACCTATTTGTGTCCTCCTCCCTCCCCAATTCTACAGACAAGGAGATTGAGGACCGGAGAGGTTAAGTACCTTGCCCAAGATCATACAGCTAAAGCCTATGCTATTAACTGCTATAAAAGAGTAGTTTTATGAGTTTAGAGGAGGAAATTGGGCACTTCTTCCCTAATCAAGAATAGCTCCCTGATTTAATATATGGGGTAGATCCCAAGGATTTTGGTTTTTCTTTGATTACATACTGATGAACAGGTTACAGAAATGGCTACAAAACTAATAAAAACGACCAAAGGACGTGATTTTATCATGGGGACTTTTTTGATGGGTGGTTCGTGTTTTTGTAGGAATTGGAAGTAGAAAAGGAAATAAACCTTTATCAAATGCTGCTTGCGTGTAGGCCATGCATTTCATAAGTTACTTGCATTTCACTTAATTAATGGTAAGCCTGGGACTAGTATCCCCATTTTACAAGTGAGGAAACTGAGACTCTGGAAGATGAGCCACCTATCCAAAATCTATCAGTAGCAGAGCCAGGGTTGAGTATGGATTTGTCTAACTCGAAAGCTCATGCTGTTTCCACTGAACGTGCAATTAAGAATGTCTGAATATACAGTGAACATGATGTAGAAATTGTTCAGTGGAAACATTTTGATAACAGTTTTCTTCTCAAGTCAACTTCGTTTTTATATTAATTGGTCCCAGTCCTCTGAGTAGATGGCAAGCTGTTCCTGGGAGATGGCAGGATTGGCAGAGGCAATGTCTAATCATTTTAACCAAATGGACATTAGAATTCTCTGTGAAGACATAATTAGATCTTATTTACTTTAAACATATCTCCCGTGTGGACCTGGAAGCGTCATTCTGTTTTCCTTAGTCACTAAATATGTAACCTAATTAAATCTCATATTAAAATGCAAACCTTTCGTTATGTTCTTCAAATGTCTCCCTTTCCCATTAGGGGCAATTTGGACAGACCAGATTTTCTAGCTTCAGCTTCACATATGCGGTTGTACATCCACGTTTTTGTCTGTCTCCTCTTGCCTAAGGCAAAAAAGTCAGACTTCACAAGCTTATTGTTTAGAATGACATAAATATTTTCCTTTGTATTTCCGTTCAGTATTGTAATGGATGGTATAAACTGTACATAACTAATAACTAAACAACAGTTTCAGTCAGTCTGTCCAGTGCCTAGCAGGGTGCACGACACAAAGTAGATGCTCTCAGGAGCCGGATCAGGTGAGGCACTGAGCATGCGAAACGTAAAGAGGTGTCACTCTCAGTGCAGGGCAAGGGCAGGGGCAGCAGCCACAAGTGAGGGTCTCCTGACATCTTGTGCTCACTTGCCTCACCTTAGTCATGGCCCTTGATGCTCCTCAAGGGTCTTTTTAAAAAATTGACTTGAAACTACTTCATTCAAAGAAGCCTAGAATCCAACACAACATTAGCATTTTCTGTACTCTGGGTTGTTAATTATTGTTCAGTGAGGGTGAGAGCACGAAAACTCTTCTTTGGGATCAGGTGGAGCAGCCGGCCTGCTTTTAGTGAAGCGTGTCCCCTTTAGCACTGTGCCTTCCACACCTTGTCGCCATGAACGTTTTTTACCTCTGGAATCTTTTCTTGCAGGCAAACTCTGTTTGCTAGTGCCGACACTGCGTACGTCCTAGCGTATTCAATTATTATGCTCACTACAGACTTGCACAGTCCTCAGGTAAAACATTTTAATGATTCGTATATTGTGCTAGCTAAGTAAGTAGCTCGCTTGGGCAATTAGATGTTTTTAAAATGGCTTTTAATTTTTTTCAATTTCAGGTAAAAAACAAAATGACAAAAGAGCAGTATATTAAAATGAATCGCGGTATCAATGATAGTAAAGATCTACCAGAAGAGTATCTCTCGAGCATCTATGAAGAGATAGAAGGCAAGAAAATTGCAATGAAAGAAACAAAAGAGCATACGATTGCAACCAAATCTACTAAGCAGAGTAAGGTCTAATGGCAAATTATTTCTATTAATTCTCATTTTCTAGTGTATCAAAATGCATGACTACTCTGGTGATGGATTTAATTTGCATATCTAGATATCTGAATAGAAATATGATTCTATTATTGTGTTCTTTCATATTATCTTGCTAGATTTGTGATTAGGAAAAAGAGGGAATTATAATATGTAATCTGAGAGCTAAATTACCCCAAAAAATGTATTCTTTAAACTTTGCTTTAATTCCAGTGGTGATTGTGCCAACCTTGATTCTATTCTTTTTTTTTTTTTTGAGACAGAGTCTCACTATGTTGCCCAGGCTACAGTGCCATGGCGTCATCCTGGCTCACAGCAACCTCAAACTCCTGGGCTCAAACGATCCTACTGCCTCAGCCTCCCGAGCAGCTGGGACTACAGGCATGCGCCACCATGCCCGGCTAATTTTTTCTATATATTTTTTATTTTTAGTAGAGACGGGGTCTCGCTCTTGCTCAGGCTGGTTTCGAACTCCTGAGCTCAAACAATTCGCCCGCCTCGGCCTCCCAGAGAGCTAGAATTACAGGTGTGACCCACCGCGCCCGGCCTTGATTCTATTCTTGATTCTCTTCTACTCTTAATTCTATTAGTTAAGGCCCCTGTGAAGTTTTCAGTTTCTTTGTTTGAGAGGCAGCAGAGTGTAGTAGTTTAGAGCACAGGCGCTAGAGCCACACTGCCTTGGATCAAGTCCCAGTTCTACTGCTTATTAGCTGTATGACCCTGGGCAAGTTACTTAGCCTCTCTGCCTCGTTTTTCCCATCTGTAAAATGGTAATAATATTATATCTGTAGCACATTCATGGGATAGTTGGAAGGATTTGGGAGTTAATCAGTGTACATCTTTTGAAATAGTTCCCAACATATAACAAATACTCAGTGTTAGCTGCTCTTATCATACTGCTCTTATCTTACTTCTTTATAGATGTAGCTAGTGAAAAGCAGCGGCGGCTACTGTACAATCTGGAGATGGAGCAAATGGCTAAAACAGCCAAAGCTCTGATGGAGGCTGTGAGCCATGCCAAAGCCCCGTTTACAAGCGCCACTCACTTGGACCATGTCCGGCCAATGTTCAAAGTGAGTATCCTGAGACGTTACAGAGCCTGTGGCTGAGCCAGATGCTGGAGTTGGCCAGCGGGAAGCTGGCTGGCGAGATTACAATGGTAAAGAGATTGAGGAGAGGAAAGTCCAGGTGTAGGTGCTTCTGTCTGAAGAGTAACTAAAGCGAGTCCTTCCTACGTATCCTTTGATGATGCCGGGCAAGCCCCAGCACCAGCCGTGGACTCTGTGGTCACAACATCTGCGTTTGAATCCTGGCTTTGCTACTTTGTAGCTGTGTGACCTTGGTCAGGTTACTCAACCTCTCCCTCTGTTCATCTATAAAATGAGGCCACATACAGGGCTGCAGGAGGGATTGAATGAATTATTCAGGCAAAAGATAAAGAGATAGTTTTGTTGGGACATCTCACACCTTGGTGGCCTTAGGTCTACTTTGTTACATGAGATTAGAGGGAAGAAAAAGACAATAGTCTGAGGTCTCTATTTTTAAAAGATCTAGAAAATATACATATTCTATATACATAGCACAGTAATTTTCTCTTAAGATGTTTTTATAGTAACTGTCAATATTCTGTTAGGTGATCAATTCTAGATTTTTGTGACCTTTTATTTCCAAGGAATTCACAAGAAAGTTGGAAGAAAAGTAAAGTCTACATTCTTTGAATTAAGAACCTTTCAGTAAACTGTTACAAACAGAAGTCACTTACAGGTTTTATTTTGCACACCGACTTCTGATTTATAATGGCTGCCTGGTACACTGGGTAAAGAAGCATTCTCAAGCCTGATGCAGATTCAGTAGGGAACAGGATGTTCTGGGATTTACTAGTGATGTCTGCCATGTGCACAGGTAGTTGTAGTTGTGGCACACTAGCCACATATTAACAATCCTTCCTTTTGAACTGTATGTTTAGTAAATAGTACATTTATAGTGATAGCTGTGACCATAGTTTAGGAGGAACTGTTTTATATTGTGAATGGAATAGATTGAAATAAAAGTATCAGTGAACTTGGCATCCTGGCTGTTCCGGTGACTAACAGTGTGGCCTGCAGGTGCTCTTTCCATGCTAAAACTCTGGATGTTACTGAAACCTTCCTTCCTTGATAGCTGGTGTGGACGCCACTGTTGGCAGCCTACAGCATTGGACTACAGAACTGTGATGACACTGAAGTAGCCTCACTGTGCTTAGAAGGCATCAGATGTGCAATCCGAATTGCCTGCATCTTTGGAATGCAGGTGGGTGTACGTCAGCAACGCTCCGGAGATTTTAGTTGGTTGTATTCTTTTAGATTTGATGAAACTTAGAAACTATCAGAAATTTTCAGTAAATCAAGAGTCTTAGCAAACTATTTACTCATGCCCACTGAGAAGAAACCCATAGCTTTGTACTGGCATCTCATTAGGGGAAAAAAAAATTAAGAGATTTGGAATAAAACCTTCTTTAAGCGTAGGTGAGATCCAAGCTACTTGATTGCGTTTGACGAAATAGCCTTTCTAGCCATCTGCCCAACTTTCTGTCTTTAAATGTGTGCTTAAAAATATCATTTTCCTTTTAAGATCAGATTTTATTACTTCCTGTCTTTTCAATTCTTCTCTGGGGAAACGAGCAGTTCAGTACAATATGAATGTATCTGTAAACCTTTTGAGTCATGAAAAATTCAAGCAAATAAATGGACTGTAATTCTTACGCTGTTATGAGATCAGGAGGTTGTCAATCCCGTGCATCCCTTTCCAAGTCAGTAAGAAGTTGCACCCATTTATTTAAGTAAACTCAATCTTCTGTTCCCATTCGTTTTACAGTTAGACATTTTCTTTTGCAACAAGGCCACAGGCTTTGAAGTCAGACGATCTGGGTTTCAAAAAACTCACCTCTGCTACTTCTCCAGCCACGTGACATTGGCCCAGCTAACTTCTCTCTGAAACACCATTTATTTCCTCATTTGTAAACTTGAGAAAATACACCTACCTTGCAGGATTGTTGCAGATACTAGAATTTATTTGGCAATCTTAGCAGTCGAGAGAATGGAACGTGGGATAGATAGGTTCGATCGAGGTCGGGGGGAAAGGAGAAAGCTGCGGTGTGGTGTACAGGAAGCCTCACTGGGATGTTCTGATAGCCGGAGGACATCAACATGGAACAAGTGGCGTGTTCATGTGCAGAGAGCCTGTCAGTGTGCGTACAGAGGTATCAGATAGGATTCAAAAGACATGATTTTTAAAAAGGTATCAGAGAAGCCCTGTACACCAGCCCTACAGATGTGAAAACAACCACGCTAAAGGTAGCATCACAGTTCTCTTGGGCTTCCGTTGCAGCTGGAACGAGATGCCTATGTTCAGGCTCTTGCTCGCTTCTCCCTGCTCACAGCCAGCTCCAGCATCACCGAAATGAAGCAGAAGAACATCGACACCATAAAGACGCTTATTACAGTGGCTCACACCGACGGCAACTACCTGGGGAATTCCTGGCATGAGGTGTGTGTCCTTGAATTGCCTTTTCGCAGTTGGGGTGGCTCCTGGCATTTCTTTTATTCAGTGTTGATCTCTGTGGTCAGTTCCATTTTTCTCAAAGTCATACCTCGCTTTACCTCGTGTATCTGAAAGTCAGCCTGTCTGGGGCCGTAAAAACAGAGGGAGTTCAGACACACCCCCTCACGGTGTGCACCCCCACAGAGTGCACTTGTGTTGAGGCGACTTTATTCCCATCTTAGTGCCACTTGTCTTAAGTCCTCCTGCACCTCCTGGGAGTTCCTATAGTCAGTGTACACTTACCACACAGCCAGGAGACTGATCTCTCTCCCAATTGTATCTTTAAAAGAAACGGTCAGCATTCACAATGAGCGTCAGAGCGTGCCGGTGAGCTCACCTTTTGATTTAACTAGACAATGTTATAAGATTCTCACCTATGTCCACAACGTGCTACTTGGGAACCATATTAAAACAACTAAGGAGAAAAGAATAAAATAAAATAAAAAAGATTTTCACCTAAGGACATAGTTACATACTTCTACAAAGATGTTTTAAAAGGACAGTAAGCACAGTTTTAATCATTCTAGGGCAAAGATTGGATTAGAAACAGCTAGATATCCAGTATCCCAGCAATGAGAGAGAGCTCTTTTTTTAAAAAATGTGGGACAGCTTTCCTTAGAATTTTATGTGGCCATTTACAATGATGCTGAAAAAATGATGTTGTTAAAAAGCAGACATTATGTGCTTCCTGCTGGAAACACACAATACCACCTAAGAAATGCTCTTGCCCCAGACTCAAACCCCAATTTCAGTTTACAGGAAACGTAAGAAGACAGAAGCTGTGACAGATAGTTGATGCCATGAGGATGCAGCCTGCAAATTCTAGGTGTGACAGACCCACAGAGCAGATGACCAGGTTTTGCATCGATTGCAAGAAAAATAATAAATGGAAGGGGGACCTATGGATTAAAAGAGACTTCAGAGAAAAAAGATAAAGATGATATTAAAGACCGTGTTATGGGAAGATGGTCACAGTACAGTAACTAAAAAGTTGTTTTAACACTGTGAGACGTCATCCCTGGTGCCAAACATACAGAAAATGGAATTCGAAAGGATAAACCAAAGTGTTAACATCTTGAGTGATAGAATTATAGAGGCTATTTGTTTTCTTCTTTTTTTCCTTAATTTCTAATTTTTCTACTACCTAGATGTACTACCTTTTGTTTAGAGAGAAAACTGTGAAAGAGTAGAGATGAGGCCATGGGGAGTAGAGGGGACTGTTTGACCTAGAAAGAAAATTGCTGTCAGCCGCCGCCCCCTGCATGGATCGGGTGGTCTGGGCAAAGGCTCTGGAGCCAGGCTGCTGGGGTCTGGTCTGGGGGCTCCACCCCCTTCCGCCTGTATGGCACGGGCTGGTTAGTCACTGAGGCCGCCTTCCTCGTTTGTGCAGCCTTCTTGGGGTGCTTGTGAGAAGGAAAGGGGCTTACGACCGCACTGGGCAAGTAGGAAGAACTCAGCAGTGTTAGCTGCTGTCATCGTCACCATGGCACATAGCTTTGTCCCACTTTCCTTTCTCTGTCACAACTCCGAGTAGTCCATGTTAGAAACTGTTGATTTGTATGCTTTTTTAAAAAAATCATTTTCCATCTTCTGAGGAATCATAATACCTAGAGATTCAAAGAATAGTTGCTTTTTCTTCTAGAGCTTTTTTTTTTTTTAGCCTGAGAGGTATGACCATAATACCTGGAGAATCAAGGAATAGTTGCTTTTTCTTCTAGAGCTTTTTTTTTTTTTTAGCCTGAGAGGTATGACCAATGTGGAGTTCCTGCTGCTTGCCAAGTGTGTGGTAGCATCTGGAAATACTAAAAACGAAATTAGCCACCTTTGTGGTTAGAAACTTCGAGAAATCAGCTTAGAACAAATAAGTCCTTGGTCTTTGCAGTATTATTGACATTCTTGAGATCCCAGCTATCCCAAGCTTCTGGAAAAGGGAGGGCATTAGTAGTTTACTAGTAATAATTTAATAGTATTGTGCTGTGTGGAAAATCAAGGGATGATTCTTTGGAGGAATTAAATCCATTTCTCAGTCATAAGGTGGCAATTTCTAAGCAAAAATACTCAGCAGTGCTCAGTGGTGTCGTGGAGTCCTGTACTCTGGGACTGGATTGTAACGTCAGCATGAAAGGCAACGTTCAGCTTTATTTAGTCAGAAGTTCCCACGAAAATTCCTTAGGAAGGGTTTACGGGGGGCATCTATGTGCTGTCCCTCTGTAAGTTTCGTGTAGCCAACGCTTCCTGCAGAAGTTGGGACTGATGTTGGGACTGATTTCTGTTTGTTTGGGTATCTCCAGGAGAGAGAGGGCTTGTGTGCAGGCGCGTCCACCGGCACCAGAAGTACCCGCCGGGGACATTCTCATCCCCCACCGCATGCCATTCTAGGGCACATTCTTATTTGTTCAGTTGACCACATAATAATTGCCAACTATTTTGAGTGCTGGAGATTTAACAGTGATTAAGATGGAGTTAATGCCCTCTTGACACTTACAGCAGAGAACAAACCAACCCATGGTATAATGCCAAAAAAAGATGAGTGCTAAGGAAACAAAAAGTAGGACCAAGGGTAGCGATGGGACATATGATCTCGCATAGTCAAGGACAGTCTCTCTGAGGGGCACACTCACATCTGAGCTGGGAATCGAAGGACTGAGCCGAGGCGAAGCAGCATCTCAGGCATAAGGAGCAGCTAGTGCCCATCGGCCCTGGTGGGACCAGAGATGGCAGTTTAAAGGAGCAACATTGAGGCCAGCAAGGCTGGTGGGTTGTGTCCAGGGGGAGGGTGGACAGGGAGGTGGAGGTGGCTGGTCAGACTAAATGGTGCACTTACTGAGTGGCATGTGGGTTGAGTCCCCTTGCTCCAATCAAATACGTTTTTTCTCTTTATTGAGTACTTAACTAAATAAACATAGTTATGGCATACCTCCATTGTGCCAACTTTTCTTTTGCTTTGCTCCTTTTTAATAGTTAAAAACTGCATGGCTTATCTTCAAGACCCACACTTGAAGAAGGGCTGTGTAGCCAGGGCTCTTGATGCTGCTTGGCCAGTGGATATGTCCTCTCGGGAAGCCATCCTAAGGCCCTTAGATTCTATTCTCACCTTGAAAAGCTGCTTGTTTCAAAGAACACTTGAATGGCTGACTTGAGATCACAGTGCCCTTTTTCAGGCTGTGAAGTGGAAACTCATTTCTTCACACCTTCTTTCCATTAGATCTTGAAATGCATCAGCCAGCTGGAGCTTGCTCAGCTGATAGGAACCGGCGTGAAGACCCGCTACCTGTCTGGGTCTGGGCGAGAAAGAGAAGGGAGCCTGAAGGGCCACACGTTGGCAGGAGAAGAGTTCATGGGCCTCGGCCTTGGTAAGATACCAGGCCCCATGGCTGGCCATCACGGATTCGCAAGTTAACCGGGATGAAACCCTTCTTGTCTCATCAGGACTGTCATGTAAACTGTCTCTTTCTTATGTGCCAGCTGACAGTGTGTTTATGAATGAAGTGGATGTGCTATGTCAGCTCTCTTAATTGTGATTAAACTGTTGAGTAAAATGTCTGTTTGACCAAAATTGGCAGGGTGCATTACTTTTATTTCTATACCTATGACTATACTGGGGGGAAGCCATTTGCTTTGAAAAGGCTATAGCTCTAGTGCCTGAAATTAGAGGGGTGTCTGTGTGTGTCTCTAGATTTTAAAGAGTAGGTTCAACATTTCCATGTTCATTTGGGGGCTTTTATTAAAGAGTATTCTTATGTAGGTAGAAATATTTCTAAGGTATACATTGGATTGAGAGACTCTAGGTCAATTATAAATAATAATAGTAACATACTATAACATAATCATAACAACAACATAACATAATAATAGTAAATAGGACAAACAAATGTGCCAGGCCACATTCTCAGCATTCAGTTTATATATTTTAATTCATTTAATCCTCATAACCACCCAGTGAGGTAGGGACTATCATCCTGCCCATTTTGTAATTGACAAAACTAAAGTACAGGGTGAAGAAATAAGAGCAAGGTCACACTGCAAGGAGGTGACAAAGGCAGAATTCAAGCCCAGGCCATCCAGTTGCGGAGAGTAGGCTCCTGGTCCCATGTACAGTGGCTGGAATAGTATAATGGTTAAAAGCATGGACTCGGAAAATAGGGGTTGCAGTGGCAACTACCTCTTAGGGTGCTTGTCAAGGATGACGGGAGTGAAATCCTGTAAAGCACGCCCAGCCTTCAACAGGTGTGAGCCTTTGCGTGTTCTAGGAGCTCTGGATTAGTATCAGTTGATTCTAATGTGTTTTCCCAAACGTAGGCCTTTAATGCTACATAGAGAAAGGGAGATGGTTGGTACAACTGAGGGCTTGTATACTAATAAAGATGTATGCCAAATGCCAAAACATAAGTTTAATTTTATTTTATCGTT